TGGTTGCTGCTGCTATGCTGGCTGCAGGAACCAGAGAGGGAGGTGAAGCAATGAGCTGGCACAGGATGGAGGACCAAAGAGTTTTCTGATGAGTCATCTGACAAGGAGAAGCTCACGTTTCCTTGTTTGTAACAGGGAGGGGAGAGGAACCTTCCGTCTGCTGGGAGCTCCTGGGTGTCAGGTGCTTCTCAGATACTCACTCGTCTGATGCCTGTTTTTCTGTTATGGCCACCGAGGCCCTGAAAGGTTGAGTAACTTTCCCAAGGTCACACAGGCAATCTATGGCAGACGTAGGGTTGGAACTCAGGTCCACTTAATTCAAAGCCTGTACTAGCCTCTATGGGTTTCTGGGGAACCCAGGTGGTAACAATAGGGATTTTAGAAAGCTGAGTGTGTAGAAATATAAAGCCCTGAGACCTCTAGGCTAATCTGAAGGAGGCTCCTGAGGACTGCTGTGTCAAGCAGGTGTCTCTGAGGGTGCAGGGTGCTCAGAAGGCCTGGGTCCACCATCTAGGCAGGGTCTGCCATTTACAAGGTGACTCTCTCCTGTGGGGGAGCCTTAAGACTCTTTGGGAGGTGGTCAGCCAACCTGGGAGCTTTCCAGGTGGCTCAGTGAGTAAAGAATCTGCCTGCAGTGCAGGCGACACAGAAGATAAGGGTTTGATCCCTGGGTCAGGAAGATATCCTGGAGGAGGGCATGGCAACACACTCCAATATTCTTGCTTCGAGAATCCTATGGACAGAGGAGCTTGGCAGGCTACAATCCGTGGGGTCACAAAGAGTTGGACATGACTGAAGTGGCTGAGCATGTGCACTCATGCACAGCCAGCCTGGGCTCCAGACCCCCTGTGGTCCAGGGAGAGAGAGAGAGAGAAGGAGGCAGGAGCCTGATCCAAGATTCAAGCAAGGAACTCTGGTTAGGAGCTGGAAGCGGGGTTTAGGCCTCAGCTCTGCAGATGAACAGTCTGGTGACTCTGGATAAATCTTTGAGAACCAGAGCCCCAGAGGGCATTGCTGAAGGAAACTTGGAAGTCATCTCAATGGAAGGCCCCCAGTGAATCAGCGGTCGACCTAGAAATCCACGTATTTCTCTTCCTTTCCCATTGCCCTGGGCCTCTGCATTCTGGGTCTCAGTTTCCCCCACCTGTGAAATGAGGTGGTTGAAAGGGAAATTTTCTACAACCATTTAGGCTTTGACATTCTGCACTTAGTGAGTACCTGAGAAATCCCCTGAAGTACCGAAATCAGGTCAGACAGCAGACAGGCTGATCACCCGGCCGTCAGCACACAGGCCTAACCTCTGTGGGCTGCAGGACCATCCACCAGGTGGGTCTTGGGTGACAGGAGGCCTGGGAATGGCGAGGCAACAGAGGCCGGTCTCTGGATGGGACGGTGCTAACACTGGCCTGAAAGGGATTAATCAGGCAGTGGTTAAGTGTGCAGACCCTAGAGCCAGAGGTTTGAATCTTGGCTTCGACATAGTCAGGTTTGGGCAATGCCGTCAGCCTCTCTGGGCCTTCATTTCCTCATCTGCAAAAAGGATATGATAAAAGTAGAGTTGTTAAAAGGACCAAATAAAGTCATGCATGTAAAGTGTTTCACAGAGTGTTCAAAATGTTAGCTAGTGTTATTTTATTATTTTTTTAACACATACAGAATGGGTTACTCAAAGATCAGACACTGAGTTTGCAGCAAGGCTCGGAGACACCAACTGGTGGGGTAGCGAGAGCCAGATGCCAGCTTAAATTTTGACTTCACAGCGACCTTGGACTAGTGACTTAGTCTCCCTCAGGGGCTTCATCTATAAAATGGGGTCATGTAAAACCCCTCACCTGTTGTTGTGCAGAGTCAGTGACACCCTGTCAAGATGAGCCTCTTCTGCAGGGTTACTCATACATGGGGCTTTCCCTCTCCCTCCCTGGAAACGTTATAGAGGAGGGGACTAAATCTGTAGTTTTGCCAGAAAGCAAAGAAGGGAGCTTTAGACCTGTGAGCAGGGCCTCAGCCCCATCACTGGGTCCTGTCCCATCTGACCCAGGACTGAGAGAGGAGAAACAGGGTCCCCCATATGGCTCTCTGACCCAGGTCTCTCTAGGAGGGCTGGCAGGTGTCCCCAGCTCTGTGGGTCCTGGGGTTCACTTCGTGGTCAGAGGAAGGCATTCCTGTGTCAAGGCATCGCATACCCTCCTCGGGAGGGGTGGGGAGGGGCTGTGCCCTGACCCTGTGAGAGAGGCATGTCCTGGCCACCGTGGGCCTCCAGAGGATCTGTGATTATTGTTCCTCTGAGGGGCGTTGGCTGAACCTGCTCTTCAGCCCCAGGAGGATCGTCATTCCAGGCCTGGCAGGTTCCATTAATCACCTTCTTTTCTGTTTTGATCCCCACTGACAGAGAGAGGGCTTCTGCTTTGGGCTGAATCACACCTTTTCAGTGAGAGAGCTGAGCCATCAGTTTGGGACAGGAGAGCTGGGCAGGGTTAGGGGTAAGGCTAAATCCCTGGTCTCACCAGGTTTTGGAGCACCACGGCCCACCCTGGCTCTTTCCCTGATGCCGACACCTGTGAAGGGAGATGCAGGCCCACTTCCCCACCTGAAGAAAACAAAGGCCAAGAAAGCCCTGACTCAGAACCTTCCTTTCTGGTATTGCAGAATCAGCAAAAGGGTTTCCAGGACAACCTCAAGTCACCTCACCCCAGCCCCTGGCCTATCCCATCAAGCCCCTCAGGCTGTTGTGGGCAGAGGGCAGCTCCCAGGGGGCCATTCATGGCCACCATGGCCTCCTTGGTAAGTGGAGCCTGGAAGCCTGAGTCCTGGGTCTGCCATTCTCAACCCTGGAAACTCTCTCTCTATTCTGGGCTTCTGAGAGACCAGCTCAAGGCCCTTTACCTTTGGCTCAAGAAGGAAATGGCAACCCACTCCAGTATTCTTGCCCGGAGAATCCCGTGGACAGAGGAGCCTGTTGGGCTGCAGTCCATGAGGTGGCAAAGAGTTGGACACGACTGAGTGACTAGGCATGAAGGTGAGGCCTCCTCTGGTGGGCTTCCTAAGTGGACCCTGAGTCTCAGGCACATCCCAGGCTCCTCAGCAGGGACCCTGGCCCCAGGCCCTAGGTCATATCCTCTATGTGGCCTCTTGGTTAAACATGCACAAGCTGAGTCAGGCATCACGTGGTTGTGGGACTAGAAAGAGCTCAGTATTACAAGACTTCCTTTTTGGAACTGGCTATGCCTCTGAGGCTGCTGCTGTAATGAAACCATTAAATCCATGGGTCAGGCTGACCTAGGGCTTCTCAACCTGGACACAACGGACCTTCTGGGCTGGAGGATTCTTGGTGGCAGGGGCTGTCCTGGGCACTGTAGGGTATTCAGTGGTATCTCTGGTCTCTGTCCTCCAGATACCAGTAGTATCCCTTTGGTGTGAAGAACAAAATGTCTCCAGACACTATGAAATGTCCCTTGGGAAGCAAAATAGCCCCTGGCTGAGAACCTCTAAATTGATCTGTGGTGACAGAGTTGGAATTATTGTTATGCTAGGGGGATGGGGGATATGGAGGGCAATTGACCAGGAAAAGGTACATTGAGATTTATAGGGAGTTGGAAATGTTCTGAGTGGTGGCTTAAATTTTCATAGCTGGGGATCCCACATTAAGATCCCCACAACTAGATCCTACTTTAAGCCGGATGCTTATAATTTGTCTATTTTGCTGTAGGAAAAAATATGCCTAAAGAATGAGCCTAGTCTGATTCAGGTCAATGCATGGCAAAATCCACTACAATATTGTAAAATAATTAGCCTCCAATTAAAATAAATAAATTAATTAAATTTAAAAAAATGGAAAAAAAAAAAAAAGAATGAGCCCAGTGTCAGACAGATCCAGACTTGGGTTTCAGTCCTGACTTTGCCCTTAAGGCTTAGTTTTCTTCTCTGTAAAATGGGGATAATAGTAGGGTCAACCTTCCTGGGCCACTGCAAAGATTAAACAAGGTGTGCATGCTTAGTTGCTAAGTCATGTCTGATTCTTTGAGAACCCATGGGCTGTAGCCGAGGAGGTTCCTCTGTCCATGGGATTTTCCAGGCAAGAATACTGGAGTGGGTTGCCTTCTCCTTCTCCAGGGGATCTTTCCCACCCAGGGATGGAATCTGCATCTCCTGCATTGGCAGGAGAATGGATCCTTTACCACTGAGCCACCAGGGAAGCCCCTTAAACAAGGCAGTCACTATAAAATTCTTAGCCTGGTGCCTGCATACAGTGAAGGATCTGAGAGTGTTAGCTCTTAGCATGTGTGGGTCTGCCTGCTCTTTCTACGACTCCCTTTCCCCAGCTGTGTCAGATGGTCCCTAAGGTCCCTTGCCACCATGACTTTATCTGATGGTCTTGGAGCCACTTTTTTTCTCAGCCTAAACACCTTCAAGATCATTGGTTCTACAGGACCAAGCAAAGTTGATCACTGTTGCTGGGAGCAATGGAATAGATGAAGTGCCGAGACGCACACAGAGCATCTCACTCAGACTTTTTAGAGATAGGAAGAAGGGAGGCAGAGGGCCACTTTGCAGCCTCCTTCCCTCTGCAGAGGCTCCCTGGCAGGCAGGTGCAGCTCAGTCCCCGTTCTAACATTGGGTGGGGCCGATGGGAGTGAGTTCCCCAAGTGGAGAGGTGAGACAGAATTCAGCTGTCAAAGGGTAGTCTCAAGGAGAACACTGTTCCCTCTGAATCATCCCTTTTGTTAAGGATTAAAAAAAAAAAAAAAGGCCCCTTCCCCCAGAGGCACAACCCACCCTGGAGAACGGAGGTAACTGAGCTTGTGGGAAACATACATGCAGTTGGCACCAGTCAGAGGGTGGGGAAGGGAGGAGAGAAGATAGGGCCACTGTCCAACCCCTTGGAAGGTGTATAAAAGGCATCCTCTCCAGAGGAGAGCCACAGTCCTCGGCCAAACCAAGCCAAGCTCCTGCCTCTACTGCTCTCTGCCCATCTCAGTCTCACCATGAGCTGTCGCCTGCAGAGTTCCTCCGCCAGCTATGGAGGTGGCTTCGGGGGTGGCTCCTGCCAGCTCGGAGGAGGTCGCAGTATCTCTACCTGCTCAACCCGGTTTGTCTCCGGGGGATCTGCTGGGGGCTTTGGGGGTGGTGTGAGCTGCGGCTTCGGTGGAGGGGCCAGTAGTGGCTATGGGGCTGGCTTCGGAGGTGGCTTCGGAGGTGGCTTTGGTGGGGGTTTTGGTGGAGGCTTCGGTGACTTCGGCGGTGGAGATGGCAGCCTCCTCTCCGGCAACGAGAAGATCACCATGCAGAATCTCAACGACCGCCTGGCTTCCTACCTGGAGAAGGTGCGTGCCCTGGAGGAGGCCAATGCCGACCTGGAGGTGAAGATCCGAGACTGGCACCTAAAGCAGACCCCGACCAGCCCGGAGCGTGACTACAGTCCCTACTTCAAGACCATCAATGAACTCCGGGACAAGGTGAGCCCTTGCAGGTTGAGCAGGATTCTCCTGCGAGGAGGGCAGAGACTCGATGGCCTTCATATCCATGAAGGGTCCCCAGGGACCAGCAGATGCAGTATGGATGGAGTTCTTATCCTTCCTTTGGGTGAAAATCTAGGCTTTTAACTGCCTATCAAGCGTGTCTACTCTGGATGATCTTTCTCATGCTATGTATTTTCTCTCATTATTCATTTTTATTGTTCTTACTCATGCCAACATTTTTTTTTAACTGCTTTCCAAACAGTTATGTTCTTAGCGACTTGATCTCTATAATCCTAACTCACTGGGTTATTTGGAAACCGTGACAGCTTTAAAAGCCACTAAGAATGGATAAAATCAACAGAGAAAGAAATACATGTTCATTCATTGGTCTGGGAACACTGGTTTGTTTTGTAGGGGCCCCCTTTAAATTGGTGTTCTCAACTGGCCTTAACCAGGTGGGAGAGATGCAGGCAGTGCTAAGCTGAGATTCTCTCCCTTTGTGAGGCCAGCTTGTTGGAACAGAAATCCACCTGCCTGGGCTGGGTCCCAGCTATGTGGGGTGGATTTTAAGTGCTTTGGAACACAAAAGTTGAGACAGGAAATTCAAATGGATGGGGATATTTATTGAAATTCCACTCTGCTCAGTGGGGAGGCCAGCTCCAGTGAAGTTATGAACTGTAGGAAGCGAGGCTGATTCTTTCCTGATCTTTTAAAATTAGTTAATTAATTAGGCTATGCAGGTCCCAGTTGCAGGGCAGGGGATTTTTAAATTGTGACTTATGGGATTCAATTCCCCGACCAGGGATTGAACCCAACTCCCCCTGGGAGCTCGGAGTCCTAACCACTGGACCACCAGGGAAGTCCCCTCTCCTGATCTTAAGGAGAAGGAAGGTGCTCAAGACAGTGACCTTATGAGATTGATGGTCTGAGGCTGTGGAGACATGACTAACCACAGACATCCTTGGTGGGGTCGCTCCCCTGCAGTGCACATACAGATCACCGTGACCAGACGCAGAACACTGGAGTGATAGAACACGCTAGGGGGACCTATCTCATCCCTCACTTTACAGAGAGGACCCGAGGCCCAGCGAGAAGTGCATTGTCCCAGCTCGCAGGGGCAGGGAGCAGGCGGAGCTGGACGGCCACCCGTCCAGCCCACGTTTTCTCAGTCCTCCTCCCCGAGTTCGTGGACCCTCCAGTGGTCACCTTCTGTATTTTGCAGATCTTGGCGGCCACCATTGACAACAACCGGATCATCCTGGAGATTGACAATGCCCGGCTGGCTGCCGACGACTTCAGGCTCAAGTGAGTTTTATTTCCCTCCTCCCGTTCTCTCAGCAGTTCTTGTTTTAAACAAATGTTCCTCTGATCAATGTAATCCTAGCATCCCAGGAGTGAAGGTCTTGGGGAAGGAACAGAGTTCAGAGGAGGGTAGGGCTATCTCCAATTTCATTTCTTTCCCTTTCTCTCTCTCTCTGTTTCTTTGTTTCTTTCACCTTTTTTTTTTTTTTTAAATTTGAGCAGAGAAAGGTTTATTGCACAGCCAAGCAAGGACAATGTGTGGCTTCTGCTCAAAACCTTCAATTCCTAATACCATTTCTGTGTTGTTTTTCATTTAAAAAAATATTAGGTATGAGAATGAGCTGACCCTGCGCCAGAGCGTGGAGGCCGACATCAATGGCCTGCGCAGGGTGCTGGACGAGCTGACCCTGACCAAGACCGATCTGGAGATGCAGATCGAGAGCCTGAACGAGGAGCTGACCTACATGAAGAAGAACCACGAGGAGGTGAGGGTGGGGAGCGGGGCCTGCTGTGGCTGAATCACCTCCAGCAAGAACAGGGAGCCCTCTGCTGAGGTCAGACTCAGCCCTCCACAGTGGAACCTCGAAGCACTTTCTGAAACATTCTGGTAGAATTCAGAGCCGAGGAAAGCCCGGCTGAGGAGTTTCAGGCGTCTTCCTTTCCCATCCCTACAGGAGATGAAGGAGTTCAGCAACCAGATGGTCGGCCAGGTCAACGTGGAGATGGATGCCACCCCAGGCATTGACCTGACCCGCGTGCTGGCAGAGATGAGGGAGCAGTATGAGGCCATGGCAGAGAAGAACCGCCGGGATGCAGAGGAATGGTTCCACAGCAAGGTACCTGGCTGTCTCACCTGGCCGAGCCAGAGGGTACCCGGGCCATCCAGCTGGGCTCCTGTGTCACCTCCATCCTGCTTGAATTCCAGAGCGCTGAGCTGAACAAGGAGGTGTCTTCCAGCACGGCCATGATCCAGACCAGCAAGACAGAGATCACCGAGCTCAGGCGCACACTCCAGGGCCTGGAGATCGAGCTGCAGTCCCAGCTGAGCATGGTACACCGGCTGCCCTCTGCCCTGTGGCTGCCCCCTCGAGGCCCCTCCCCCGGGCCTGGCATCCCTCAGACCTTCTCCTCTGCTGTCCCACCAGAAAGCCGGGCTGGAGAGCACGCTGGCGGAGACGGAGTGCCGCTACGCCCTGCAGCTGCAGCAGATCCAGGGCCTCATCAGCAGCATCGAGGCTCAGCTGAGCGAGCTCCGCAGTGAGATGGAGTGCCAGAACCAGGAGTACAAGATGCTGCTGGACATCAAGACGCGGCTGGAACAGGAGATTGCTACCTACCGCAGCCTGCTGGAGGGCCAGGACGCCAAGTAGGTCCCACAGCAAAGGGACTGGGGGACTCTGCTTTTAGAGCAGGCAGGGTCTTAGGGATCGTGCCTGGGAGGGGAGGGCATCTGTCTGCACTTTAACAGCTTGGACCGAGATCCAGGACCAGAGCTTCGTCCTTGTCTTCTGGCATCAGACTGTGGGGGCTTTTCCTTTAACTTTCTCATCTGGGCCTCTGGATTAGACTTGGCAGGGCTAGGGACGATGGAGAAAATATCTCATGCTGGAAAAGTATATGAGCTTGGATTCAGGACAGCCCAACAAAGCTATTAAGCTAGAGATTGAACTGCCTTCAGACTATTTGCAGGGGCCAGGCCATCCCTGTAGGCTCAAGGGAAGGGTAGAGGGTCCATTGAAACAAAAGGAGGACAAAACTTCCAGCAAATGGCTCAATAATATCTCCTCCTGAGGCTTCACAGACAGACAGGCAGGACAGATCTGGGCTTACCTGATGCTGCTGCCCTGTGGGCTGGGGGCACAGCTGGGAAAAGAGCCCAACTCAGGGGCTCCAAGGGCTCCTCAGTGGCTCTAGCTGAGGACAGGTAAGCAGCCGCTCTTGGTTGCCTTCCGTTCATGGCTGCCTCTCTCCTCTCTCCCAGGTTGATCGGTTTCCCCACAGGAGGTAAGAAAATAACCCAGTGGGAGAGGTGATCAGGCTCCTGTTCATCGGCCTGGGGTGGGGAGGAGGCAGGAGGCAGGGCTGGGCTCCCTCGTGTAGGCAGGAGGATGGGGCTAGAGCAGCAGGGGTCACCTGCTCCTCCGTTTTCCTTTCAAAATCGGTGGCTCTGCCCCACAGATACACGGGGCTGTTGTGGAGAGAGTCCCTCAGACAGCAACATAGAGTCCCCATCACCTATTCCACCCAGACCTGACCTACTGCAGGTTTGGGGCCCTTCTGGGGGGGCCTGGGCCAGCCTGAGGTGGGTCTCCTCCAGCCTGAAGGTCTTTTGCCTCCTTCCTTTTCCAGGAACCTCCAGCAGCAGCTCCGGTCGCCGGGTTCCAGAAAACAGTAGGCCTTAAATCTGCCAGGCAGTCCCTCCCTCTGTCTTCAGCACCCAGAGGAGGAGAGAGCTGACGGCTCCCTGCAGGAGCGAGGGAGGGACTGCGAGGGGCCCCGGCCATTCTGCGCCCGGCCACCGCCCCCTCCCCAGGGTGGCCGCTCCCTGCCCTGCCCACACCCCCCAGGTCTGCTTCCTCTTCTCCCTGACCTGGCTCCTCTCTGATTCCTTAGCTTCTCCCAGAAAAGAAAAGCTCATTCAATAAAATTCCCGCCTTCTTGCAAATGTATTTTTGATTCTGGCCTGGTTTCTGGGGGTGGCGCCTGCCAAGGCCCTGACTGGGGATGGTGGGGATGGGGGTCGGGTGTGGTCCGGCTGAGTGGCCCACCCTGAGGAGGCCGGGCCCAGAGAGCTCTGAGCTGGGAAGGACACGAGGCACCCGTGCCGACCGTCGGCCACAGGTGTGATACTGACAAACACACGGACACATGGATGATGGCTCCCTGTAAATGTGGACTTGCGGGGGCACTTGGGCCAGTTCAATACCCTAGGACATCTGGTAATAAGGAAGTGACAGGAGTTCTAGTACAGTCAGGTGATGGCGTGATGTGGAAGAAGTATGCACAGTTTGGGGCAGGGTGCAAGGGGTTAGTGAAGGGCTGATGGAGGGAGAAGGAGGCCAAGGACAAGCACTCCAACTCCACCACTGCCTCCCTGCTTCCCACAGAGAGAGCTTCCTTTGAGATGATGGGTGCCCAGGGCTGCAGTCCCCCCACCCCTTGGCTTGCCCCAAGTTCCTGACATTCCAAGTCACTCAGTGACCCGATGCACGACTTAAGGAGGGATCTCAGTCCGTGCTGATATTTATCCTCCTCCCCCTGCTTCTCTGGATGTCCTGGCTCAGACAAGCAGCCTCCACTGGCTCCACTTAACTCCTTACTGGGACTGGTCTCCTGGATTCTGATATAGGCACTTTTCTCTTTTTCTTCTTCACCCCTCTGCCCCTTGGGGCATCTGGAACATGTCCGAAGTCACAGTGTGTCCTGCTGACTCTCCAGAGAGGCCCCTCTTCTCTGTTCCTGTTTCACATGCCCAAATGAGTCGGCCATCACCTCCTTGGATGCACTTGATGAAGGAGCACCTCTCCTACTCCCAACTCTGGGCCTTCCTGCTCCTCCATCCCAGAGGACCCGGAGACCCAAACCACGGGCCTGGGAGCCCTCTTGGCTCCCTCTTTCCTTCACCTCCTTCACAAGTCCATCCCTGTTTTAGTTGTAATGTCCTCATCACCTGTCTGGTCTTAACTTGCTGGGCAGGTTGCTATGGCCTCCCTGCCTCTGGTTTGAGCTCTCCCTTCATCCATGCTCCACACACCGGCTGGGGCGATTGCTGGAAATGAAACGTCCTCCTGGCTTAGAGATGCTACAAGGGCTCCCCATGGGCCCCTGAGGAAAGCACAGTTTCTTCACCAGCCAAGAGATCACCTGGCTCTGGCCTCTTCTGGCCTCTCTCTGACCTTGAACTCCACACTAGCCTCCCACTTGTCCACCTGGAGGTCCTGCCACTCCAAACTGCTCTCAGTGACCGAGCCATGTGGCTGGACCTCTCGGGCCCTTGTTCAGTGAGGGATCTCAGTCTAATCTGATCTTTCACCTCTGTACTCTATTATTGGAGACCAGGTGCCCCTAGTGGTAAAGAACCCCCTTGCCAGTGCAGGAGACATAAGAGATGTGGGTTCCATCCCTGGGTCAGGAGAAGAGTATGGCAACCCACTGGAGTGGGAAATCCCATGGACAGAGGAGCCTGGTGGGCTACAGTCCATAGGGTTGGAAAGAGTCAGACATGACTGAAGTGACTCAGCATGACACGACCAGGTGTTTTATTCAACATTCCAATGGAGATGGCCACCCCCTCCTCTGCTGTGTGGGGAGAGAGTGGGGTGTACCCAGGTGTTTGCGCATCTGCGCCCCCTCCACCCCACCCCACAGTTGACCATTGACCACATGTGCCGAGGGGGCAGGGCTGTGTCCAGCCAACTGCTGGGCTTGGCCAATACTTACTGAAGGGAGAGATCAGTGAATGAACTGGGGGGAGTGCCTCTTAGATGCCTTCTGAGTTTTGTCGTGCGGTTGTAGGCCAGAAAGTAGGGGTGCTCGGCGCTCTTGCCAGCTGCCCTTTCTTGGCTCCCTCTTCATTTCTTCCCTCTGCCTCCCCTCCTCCTATAGTCACTGCCCTCATTCATCATCTTCTTCTTCCTCCTTCACCCCGAGCCTGTCTGAGCTCCGGGCAGTTGGTTTAGTCCACAGTGGTCGCTCAGAGGTGACCCACGGGAAAGCTGTGGCCGTCCACTCATCCCAGATCCCAGCCCCCTGTGGAATGAGGTGCGGTTCCATTCTCATCCACACACCCAGAGCTGTCCTAGGAGCTCAGACATCAAAGAGGAAGAGGACATGACCTCCACTCCCAAAACTCGGCTTCTTTTTTTGGTTAATTTATTTCATCAGCAGCTGTTTATGAAGTGCACTGTGTACCAGATGCTATACTGGATCTAGCAGAGAGAAAGATGCACAAAAAGGCAGCCTCCGTCTTCAGGGAGTTCACACACTGACAGGCAGTAGGAGGTGACGCCCGCAGCAATAAATTTATTTCCATCTTCAAAGCTTAGTTCAGGGTTCAGCTTCCGCCACAGATCTCTGCTCTTTCCCCACCACTGCCAGCCTCCTGGGTCTATCCCCAAGGCTCCCTGGACTGATGGCCATCACAGTCATTTGTAGGAGAGCAGGCCATGAAGTCCATAGGCTCTGGAGCCACGCTACTCTGGCAGGCCTCCTGACTTTCGCCGGCTCCGTCTGTAACCCTGGCCAAGTCACTTACCCCTGTGGGCTCACTTTCCTACCTGCCAAATACCACCTCCCTCGCAAGTTATGAAAGTCAAATGCTTAGAACAGTCCTGGTAAGTAGTAAGTGCTCAATAAATTAAGCTTTGTCATCCTCTTCCCTTCAGGGCAGGGATGGTTTCATCCTCCTCCTTCTCCTCCTAACTAGGATGTTATAGGAGCTCAGTAAATGTGTTGGATGGAGGAATGAGAGCTGAATGAAGATAGGTTCTGGGAGATGAAGAGGTAGGCAAGCACTTTGTGCTGCAGGCATGAGAAAGGGGACTGGACCAGAGGAGACACTCAGAGCTGAGCCCCATTCGCTGGTGCAGTGGCCCCTGGGGTCCGTATTCCAGGTTTGCTGGGCTTGCAGCAGCCCCTCTCCCCGAAACCCAGACCAAGGATGTATGGGGGCAGCCTCCTCCTTTTCTGAGCCAGTGCTGGGTGGTCTGGTGGGGTGTGGGGTTAGTTGCCCACGTGAAACAGCGAAATGAACTGAACTCTGGGCCCGGTAGGGGCTCTGGCCTGACCCTTTCATCAGGACCCCAGGGAGGAGACTGAGGAGCTGGGCTCCATCCAGGGACCTCTGTGGCCAATCAGAAATCCTGAGGCAGCTGAGAGGGAGGCTGGGGGAGGGGCTCACTGGGAGGGGGAGGGGTGTTACTGTCCAAGCGGACTCGAGAGCCTTCCTGAGCTGGATAGGAATGGTCGTCCCAGGGCTCTGGCCCGAGATGTGGGAGAGGCTTGGGGGTGTGACTGTGCTGAGTCCTTTCAGTCGTGTCTGACTGTGTGACC